AGTATAAAGTTGAGACTTAACCCATTATTCAGCCCTTTTTGAGCCCCTTTTTTGAAAAAATGCATTTTTAATAGTGTTTTGACATTATTTCAATTATATTTTTCAATAAAATAATATTATATGCAAATTCAAAATTTTTTCTTATTTTTTAACCACACATTCCCGAGTGAAATGTTTGAAAAATCACTGAACTTATGCATTCGTCACAGACTACTCACCAAATTATAAAATATTTTAAAATGCTCACTGAACTTGTCCCATTTGCACTCCATCCCTCACTCCCCAAAATTTGTTAAATTTTTTGCTGACGTGGTGAATGGCAATCTTGCGTGGCGACTAACAGCGTGCCATATCACCTGTTAATCCTACTCACAATTAAAAATTATTTTAAACCTTAATTTAAAAAAAGAAAAAAAGAAAATGAGATTTTATGAAACCATGATTCTCATGGAAATTGTTTGAACTTTCAAATTCACTTTTTTAAACCGCACCCCCCCCCCAAAAAGGTGAGAGAAACATAAAAAACAAAATCAATTACATTTTTAACCCATTTTCCCCAAATCACGACAACCTTTCATTTCCATTACACTTTTAACCCATTTCCCGTAAATCAATTATTTTGCTTAACTATCCAAGAACCCTACCCAAATCTTGGAAATTTGTCCCACAATCGACCCCATATGTTCAAAATCTACAAATTACGCACATGGAGGGACCACCACATAAAGGTAACCTTAAGCAAAATTTTTATATATCTTTTGCTATTTTTGCACGTGATATCGATCGTAATGTATATTTTTTGTGTTGGATTTATGTGATGGTTTTCTGCTTTATGAATATATGAGACAAGTATATTAATATTTTCTTCTTTTTTAATCGCATCAGTGCTTGATTCTTAAACTTTATTCATGCTTTGTGTTGCAAGTTTTCCACCTTCTTCTCTGACTTCGTCACTTTTTTAATGTAGATTTCTTGTAGTCCCAGAATTCGATGATTTAGGGAGTGATGGATACGCTAAAGATGGGGCTGAATATTCGTCGAGCGAGGACCCAGACTTCACGGATTCAGGGAACGAGTTGGATTCTAAAAGGTATGATATATTGTATAAAAATAATGTAACAGATGGGAATGAGGTTGGTTCAAATGTGGGTGAACCGAAGGATGTGAATGAGCATGATGTTCAAGTCGATGTTGAGATTGTTGATTTGGAGTACCCTTCTTCTGAGGGGCTTGTGTCTAATTGTTCGTCCGATGATGAAGTTGGGTATAGATTTCCACAGTTTTGGGCAGAGGCTGACATGAGCAATCCACAATTCGTCGTTGGTCAGCTCTATAGAGATGTTGTAGAGTTCCGAAAGGCCGTAAGAACATATGGAGCTTTAAATGGGTACAATGTCAGATTTAAGGCCAATGACGAGAGACGAGTACATGGAATTTGCAAACCAGGTTGTAGTTGGAGGATATGGGCATCGAGCATGGGACTAACGGGAAGTTTCCAAGTAAAGTCGTATACTCCGAGTCACACATGCAGCTGAGACCAGTATAATAGGCATTGTAACTATGTCTTCCTGACTAACCGATATATTGAGCAGCTTAAGGCAGACCCAAAATGGAAGATGAAGAGTATACTTGCGACAATGAAGGCCGATTTGAAGACTGATATTACTCGTAACGTGGCATGGAAAATGAGACGGTATGCAAAGGAATTGTTGCATGGAACAATTAATGAGCAATTTGGTAAGTTGTGGTGTTATGCTGTGGAGGTTTTAAGGACCAACCCGGGTTCAACCGTCATCATTGCCAACCATAATCAAGTTTTTCAGGGCATCTATGGAATCATGTAAGAAGGGTTTTGTCAATGGTTGTAGAAAGGTTATCGGAGTGGATGACTGCCATTTGCGTGGATGTTTTAGTGAAATACAGTTGACCGTTGTTGGCCATGATGCAAATGATTGCATATATCCCATCGCATATGCCGTAGTTCAAAAAGAAAACACTTTAGCTTGGCGGTGGTTTGTGAGACATTTGGAAAGTGACGTTCATATTGGTGACGGAAGTGGCTGGACTTTGATGACAGATCACCAGGAGGGACTTCAAAATGTTGTCATAGAATTGTTTCCTGCTGTTGAGCATAGGTTCTGCGTACGCCACATGTACTTTAACTTTTTCAGTGCTGGCTTCAAAGGGAAAACATTGAAGGACTATCTTTGGCATGCTGCAAAGTCTACTACCGTTTCAGAATACAAACATTGGATGCAACAAATACAAAGTGTGAGCGAGGATGCTTTCAAGTGGTTGATGGAAAGACCACCCCGTGAATGGAGCAAATCACACTTTGAAATGGATTCAAAGTGTGACATCTTGTTGAATAATGGCTGTGAGGTTTTCAACAAGACTCTTTTAGAAGATCGAGAGAAAATGATTTTGGAAATGCTGACATCCATGCAGTTAACTTTCATGAAGCGAATTCAGATAAGGCGATATAAAATGAGTTGTTATGAAGGTCGACTTTGCCCTAAGATCTGTAGAAGAATGCATTCCACTGCTAAGAGATCAAGATAGTGTATAGTACATTTTTCACGTGGTCCTATGTGGCAGGTGGATTGCAATTACGGTACATACGTGGTTGATCTTGAGGAAAGAAGTTGTGCTTGCAGATGTTGGGAATTGACGGGGATACCTTGTCTACATGCTATGGCAGTCATACGGCATCGTAGAAATGACCTTGAAGAATATGTCGACAATTGTTACACTACCGAGTCATACTTAAATTGCTATAGAAACATTTTGAACCCTATCAATGATCGCCGCATGTAGGTGGAGTTCGATGCGGAACCAATTAAGCCGTCGAGTTGGACAATTCCAAGTAAAGGGCGGAGACAAACTAAAAGAAGAAAGCAGGCAGAGGAAGTCGTGGTGCATGCGCAAGGGAGATCGTACGTCAGGAAAAAAGGACAAGTGACGATGATATATTCTAGCTGGGTGTACGTGGACACAACAAAAGGCGTCATTCCATGCCACATGTATTAGATGTAAGTGATTTCCTATTACAAGCAGCTTTGAATTGTATGATTTGTGACTGATGTTTTTCATTTATTGTTGTAGGACATGTTTGATGCTCCGCTGGCAAAAGTTGAATCCCAACCAACTAGGGAAGTACTTGCAAGCGTAAGACGAACATATTGATTATTTTTCCATTTAGTTGCTTGCTTACATTATTTTTCTGTTTAATATTATGATTTCGGAGTTCATATGTTTTGCTGCATTCTTGAATAGGGAAAATTGGCTGCAAGCAGATGCAACCATCGCTCGTCAAGCCGAACGCCTGTCACCGGCGATCCAAATATACTACCAACTGTTGAAAATGAAAGATAGACCGAGGGACTGACGGAAACCTTGGAGGAAATGGTTGAAATGCTAAAAGAAATAGACGTTGATGAGTCCTCACAATTACGGGCTGCTAGAGTTTACGCACGGCGATGTTCAAACACAATTTTAGCTACTTCTCGTAATTCATAGAATTGTAGGGTGCCTCAAACCAAAAACATTTACTTTAAGCATCTTTTGTAGTTTTTCTGCCAATGAAGGCAACTATGGTAACCACTTCAAAATTTTGTGCCAATGTGGGCAACTATGGATTAAAATTTTTTAGGGAAAAGTGTATGCAGCTCGATGCTTATTGACTACAATTTTTGAATTTTTGTTGAAGTGAACATTTGTGCTGTGGAAATTATCCAAGTATTACCTTATCGAAAGTGTTAACTTTGTTGCTATACTAGTGTATTTGATTTATATCAATCAGAAGTCTTTAGTTATATCATTTGTGAGCAATTCAAACTTGATTAGGTACTAAACATTTGTCAAATAAAAAAAACCCATCAAGTGCAACAAACTATAATTACCAACAAAAGAAATTTAGAACACAAGCAGGTACAAAACTTCAACTTCAATATTGCACCAAAACTACATTACTTTTTCAACAGAACTTCAACATTGCACCAAACTGCATTACAATTCAACATTACACCACCAAACTGCCTACTATTCACATCAACTCCATTCCCCTATGTACTGCATGCTACATGTCACCAACAAACATGATTAGAACAACCAACTAATTAGAAGAAGTACAAGGATAGCCCAGAATGTAGCCTTGTACATTTTAAGAATTCTACAATTTTTTTTTTTTGGTTCTTTGAACATAGCAACCCATTTATGACAAGCTTGGGATGATATAAACGTGAAAAAGGGCAACTTCAGACTTGAATTGACGTTCAAGCAAATCTTTAGTCTCTTGTTTCTGAGTTGGAATTCTCACCATTTTTACAGCAACTGCTCTTTGCTTATAAATCCCTCTATAAATCCTACTGTGTGCTCCAGATGCAAATTTATTGCCTGCAAGTAACTGAGAAAAATTAGCAGATCAAAAATTCCTCATGTTCCTCAGATTCTTCCCATGTTTTCAAACGCAACTGCTTTCGTTCAGCACTTCGACTACAAATTGTTTGAGGCACTAATATTCACCTAGATGGGAGTAGGAAAATGTGAATTTTTGGGGTACTATTTGGGGACAGATCACCAATATTTAGGTAGGGTTCTTGGGGAGATAGCAAAAGAATTGATTTGGTGGAAATGGGTTCAAAGTGAAATGGAAATGAGAGATTAGTATGATGTCGTGCTTTTTGTTTCTCTCACCCCTTTTTTCCCTTTAAAAACGTGAATTTGAAATTTGAAGCAAACAATCTTCATGAGAATCACGGTTTCATAAAATCCCTTTTTTTTTTTTAATTAAGGTTTAAAATAATTTTTAATTGTGAGTAGGATTAACAGGTGACGTGGCACTCCGTTAGTCACCACGCGAGATTGCCGTCCACCATGTCAGTGACAAAATTAACAGATTTTGAGGAGTGAGGGATGGATTGCAAACGAGACAAGTTTAGTGAGCATTTTAAAACATTTTATAGTTCGATGAGTAGTCCGTAACGAATGCATAAGTTTAGTGATTTTTCAAACATTTCACTCCACATTCTAGTACATATACTGTTCAAAAATTCATTTTATTGGGGCTCAAAGAAGGGCTCAATTCTCATCTCCTTTGAAGTCTTGAGCCGCGAGGACTGAAGGTAATTTTCCAATTTCTCAAAGCCTTCATCTTCTCGAACTGTTAGTCTAACCACACAATTCAATGTTGATACAAAAAAATGTTTTTGGCTTTTGGTAGTGTAGTGAGACCACAATTTTTTATCTTCTCCAATTTATTAGGCATTTTCTCTGACTTTGCAGAGAAAGTAACGCCAGATTTTTTTTTTTTTTTTTTGCCTCGACCAAGTAGGTTATTTGAAGAAATCAATTAGTGAACCTAGGTTTTGTTTCTTCTTCATTTTGTCGGGCAATAGGTTTTTTCTTCTTCTTCTTCTCATTTTGAGATTGTTTTATGCAAATGATACCGGTGGAATAATAAATTCTTTATTGCTAATAATAGTATGATTCTTTCCATTGCCTTTGATTTAAAGCTGAAATTCACTTTTAATTAGACAATATTTACACTTTATTGAAAAATCTTTAGACGCTTGGAAATTGGAACATAAGTAACAGATGCTGGTATATTTGTTGGATTATTCTAAAGCACTCTGCTGGTTTTATTTATTTATTTATTATTATTTTTAACTGATCCTATAATGCTATTTTGTGCAGAAATGAATATGGATATAGAGAATGAAACTTAATCTACTGGTTTAACCAGCTCATTATATTACTGAAAACTTGCACCGAGACTGAGATTGCAGTATACCTTCGTAGATTCCTCTCTTTTTTGATTGGTCAAATTCATAAAAGTTACCCATCATCTCAATTCCCAAAACTCCAAAAAATTTGAAGAAATCCAGGGTGAATTGACCCTCCCGAAATTCATACAAAAATGGCGTAAAATTCAACTACTTCATCGTCTTCCCAAAACCCTCCTTGCAGCCATCAACGAATCAGATGATCATGACGATTGAATCCACCCTCAAATTTGCAACATTTGCAGGGTTCGCCACCTTTCTCTTCTAGTCTAGCCATCACCTGCCTTCTCTTGACCAAAAAATCAAAGACAAATGGTGCAATCCCAGCAGCAGCAACAACAAATGGTGCAAACCCAACAACAATTGGTACAACCCCAGCAGAAATTGGTACAAACCCACCCGCAAAAGCATCAACAATTGCAGCACTTCACCAACAATTACAGCCACAGCAGCAGAATAACAATGGAGGTCTTAATGATAATAGTAGTAATACTAATTTAATTGAGGTTTCGATTTATCAGACGCAGCAGGGTTTACAGAGAACCCCTTCGGTGTCAAGGCTGGATCAAATGCAACAGCAGCAGCAATCAGAATGATTAGGCAACATCAGCGCCAGCAAGCTGGGATTTATGGGCAATGAATTTTGAGGGGGGCGGTAATGCACTTCAGCAACACCAACAATTGCAACAGCAGCAAGAACATCAGCAAAATCAGTTGTGGGAACAACTGGGGCAGATTAACAGCAACAATTTGATGCGGTCGGCATTGATGGGGCGAACAGGGCACCTGCCCATGTTATCTGATCAATCTGCAGCAGTTGCAGCTCAATTTAATTTACAGAGCCAGTTATTAACTTTGGTGAGGAGTCTTGATAAATGATAATTACACAATCTTTGGCTTTGCTTGTACAAAAAAGTGATCTTTGTAATGCTTACCCTGTTCATCTGATTTTTTATTGAGTTTATTTATACAGTCAAGTGCACTAATGTGTTTCAATGTGAAAATTAGATTTCGATGCTACTAATTTCTTATATGTTTACATCTGTTTATGTGTTCGGATTTGAGATGATGGGAATTTTGGGCAGAGAAACCAGGTCAGCTCCTGTTGCATTTCAAATGCACAAATTTTATTTGTGAAAAAATGTATTTTATTTTACAAATTTTTCATTCATTTAAATTAGTTGTTATCTAGTTACTTTCCTGTTCTAGAACTTTTAAATTTATGCTTGTTAAATGGGGTGAGAACTGTTGATTTGGTTGCTGCAGTGCACAAATACTGTTAAAATTCTTGATGGGATATTTTTATTTTATTATTTATTTATTTTATTTTTTTAAAAATAATTGTACATGTTTCTAAGACAAGTGTGATTATGGGCGCAGCCTCGAAAAAAGGCAGGATTGATACGGGGTCTCAGTCCCATCCTAGCAATTCTCAATGGCAGTCTTTGCAGGGAATGTAGGCATTGGGAATGATGGGGTCCCTCAATTTGAATTTCCAACCTAGAGCAAACAGAATGCTTGTTTATGCCTGGCAAAGGATTAACCCATGGCAATTGAGGCTGCAATTTTCACAGCAAATTGAACTCACCAATAGTCAGGTATAAGTTCTATTGTTTTTGGTCTCATACGTTGAAATCTTTATTTTAGTATGTTCTTTATTTCGTCTTCTCATCTGAGTGAAACAGGCATGGACTACTTGCCTTGGCTATTGCTTATTTGTTTGATTCACATCTGTGTCTATCTTGTGGTACTGTATGTAACGGCCTTGAAGTGATATTCGATTTTATCTGTTTTGTGGCAAGAATTGTTATTTGGAGTAAAACACCACTGCATTGGGTTAACGCCATACCTGCACGAAATGTCTCGTATTTGTTGTTCTCTTTCATTTTTCTTATTTTCTGGCGCAGTCCACTATATGCTTTGTGCTGTTTCTAGGCGTTACAATTTCACATGTGCAAGCTGTAAGACATTAACTTTAGTGTTCATTAGAGGGATCATAAGGTCTTCTCCTTTTGCTAGTGTTATAATAAGAATCCAACTAGAAGAGTATAGACAGAATATGAATAAGCAGATTTTATTGAGTACAAGGAAGATTACAGCAAAAGTAAATAGATACAGAAGCCTATAGAAGGCTGTAACTCTCAAACTCACTCCACTCTCTTACTCTCCATTTTTCCTCCTTACTAAGCCTCCCTCCCCTTCTATTTATAGCTATTCCCTAACTACTCCCCCCTCCCCATTTGTCATGTAACAGAATGCTGTTATTCCCCCTCATTACTTTTCAATCTTTCTTGTTTCTTCTAGAATAATTGAGGTGGTTGGGAGCTAGGGCTAGACAAAACTCCCAAATCAAACCGGACACTACTTGAATTGAACCAAATCAAGCGGTTCTTCTTAAGTTAAATACCCGAACGAGTATATGAATCGAGAACCGGCAGGTTCGGTTCGGTTTTCAATTCTAGACCAAGAGCCGAATAAGAATCGAGTCTTCCAAAATCTTTTAATTTATTTATTTTAAATAAGCCAAATTATTTTTTTCTAAATAAATTTGCTAACTAATTAATCTAGTCCAAATCTAAAATATGGTTTTCCTATCTCTAATTTTCAACACAAGCCTAACTTAATTAAATTGACCTATATTTTGTCCAAATATATTATTCTACCATAGTTTTGTTTCTACAGTTCTGGAGAAATTGAATTGAAAACTCGGCTACGCCTCTATTATTTTGAGCTCACTATCATTCTTGTCCTCTGATTTAACAATCAAATTTATGAAGAATCCAACAAAGAGAGGTGCAAAAGATACATAAGATTGGATCACGTTATTTTGTTAAAGCTAAGATCGAAATATCATTAATTGAATTAAAGTAGCATTGTTATAATTATTAAAAAATTGAATTATTGTATGAAATCTAGGAAACGATTCGAATTGAACCCAACCCGAACGTTTCCATAATTAAATTTGGACCCTATAGTTTCACTTACTAAATATCCAAAAATCTGGTTCGGTTCGGTTTTAAAGATAATCAAACCGACCCGGACCATGTACAGCCCTCTTGGTAGCCTATCATTACCCTCGGTTGCCAAATCTTCCTTGTCCTGAAGGTGCGAGTTTGGGAAGTGTTGGTGGTGCCAATTTCCTGCTCTTCCATCATCACGGTTCTAGTAGGGAAGATTTCTGCTCCTTTTGAAGCCTCCGGATTTTGAGGTGTAGCTAGTAGCGTGGTGTATTTGGATCCACTTGGGTCATGGGCTACTTTACCCACTTGATTTTTGTCTTCAATTAGTTGGGCCATCTTCATTATAGAGCCTAGCTCATTAATAAATGTGCTTTCCAAGACCTCTCCTCGAATACCCAATACTAGTGCAGCTTCAAAATATCTCCCAAACTCTTCCACATAAAATGTTTGTCGTATGTCCAGGCACCTGTTGCACAAACTTCCCTCTGTAGTTTGAAGGAAATGATGTAGTTTGAAGGAAATGAAGAAGCAACTGTCCTCGGAATTGCTCCCAAGTTCAAAATGGTGTCCTCGCCTCAGTCCATGGCTACCAAGAAAGGGCATCTCCTTCAAAGTTTACACCCACTGCTCCGAGCTTCTCTTTTTCTGTCAATCTATTCACTTCAAAGTACCTCTCAGCTTGATATATCCTTCCATCTGGTTCTTGCCGTTGAAAATTGGCATCTCGACCTTGTGAATAGGCATCTAGTTATTGGTACTGACCAGTGGTTAATGTCTTCCCTTCCATTACTAGCTTCCCCCGTTCCTTCTACTTCCAAATTTTGTTTCGGTACTGCCCTGGAAAGTGTCGGTGACGCCACATCTTTTTGAATTGCCTCCAATGATTGCATCATCTTGGCCATACTTTGGGTTAAGTGCTCCATTGCTCTTTCCAATCCAGGTAGGCACTGAAGTTCTATTTTCAATTCCTTCAGCTTCTTCTCCATTGCTTCTTCTCTGATTTCTATCTTCTCGTCCATTAGATCGAACATGCTCTGATACCCCTTTGATAAGAATCCAAGTGGAACAGTATGGACAGAATATGAATAAGCAGATTTTTGTTGAGTATATGGAAGATTACAGCAAAAGTAAACAGATACCGAAGCCTATAGAAGACTGTGACTCTCAAACTAACTCCACTCTCCCAATCTCAATTATTTCCTCCTTACTATGCCTCCCTCCCCTTTTCTTTATAGTTATTCCCTAACTACAACCCCCCCCTCCCCCCCGCCAAATCGTTATGTAACAGAATGCTGTTACTCCCCCTTCTTCTCATTGCTTTTTAATCCTTCTTGTTTCTTCTACAATGAGTGAGATGGATGGAGCCTATCATGTTACTATATTTTTACTCCCTTAGTGAGAAGTAATGGTTAAAGAATATTTATTTCCAATTGGATTTACACAGGTTTGCTTTCTCACTCGTAGTAGTCATGGTTTGAGATCTTATTTAATAACTTCTGAAAATTGAAACGAAACAACAAAGTCAAATATATAATCAAAGTTAAACTGGACCATGCTGGACATATTTTCCTTCAGTAACATATTTGAGCTCCTTATGACAATGTGTTATTGAACTTTCGAGCCAATAAGGATGTTTCAAAAAGGTAGGTAGTTTGAAGCCGATAATATCATGTTAGAAAATGAAACAATTTTTGTAAGTTATTGCTATCAATATGCTGATCAAAGGTTGAGTGGAGTAATCAAAATATCGTTAGCACTAGCTTAGTGTGATACGTGGATTTAAAAGAAAAGCTTATCTGAGGGGATCTTGTCGATAATATGGATGCATATGTTAGAACTTGTTTTGTGATCCACTTTTTCCACCTTGACGTCACTTGAGGGATACTGCAAGTACACTCAAAATCTTAAAACATTATTGTTTATATATATATATATATATATATATATTTATATATATATATATTTTTTTTTT